GTGGTGGAAAACGGACGCATGATATGTTGCATGCACTCACAACTCTGTGTGTGTGTGTGTGTGTGTGTGTGTGCTTTAAATATTTGCGTGTGGTCCGACCCAGAGATTTGATCTAATACAAAGCAGGTTGTGTTCGACCGTGTGTCCGACTATCTCGTGCACTCGCGCCGTGTGTCGGCACGAGTGTGTAATTGTGTACTTTGTGTGTGCGGACACGTGGTTTCACTGCACATTTGTACGTCGTGTTTACAGCGCTGCGGGTAGCGAACTCTCCTGTGATTCCGCCTCCTCCAGCGGTTTGCAGCAGTTGTTGAAAACGATTTCAGAGGGAGAGAGAAGGAAGTATTTTACATATTAAAACAACTTCAAATGGTGCCGAGCCGCCGCTGAGCAGAGCCACCGGGTTCACCGAGCAACTTCTGCTCCTTGAAGAAGCGAGTGGAAGGACAGTGTTTTAGTTTTCAACATGTTTAAAAGCCAAAGACTGTGCTCATGCTGCATCTGATTAGTTAGACGAGAGGACACGTGAAGTGGAAGACGAGGATAACACATTTTTGTTGCATTTGAACCCAGGTCACAGCGTCACAGTTACATAATGATATAGAGATAATATGAATGTGATAGGAGCAGATTATCAAACTCTGCAGGGAAACTCGTCTATCAGGAACAAATAGAGAGCAGCGAGATTCAATAACCGCCTCATAATGAAGTAACACGCCAGAGAGCGTCTCTAAATGGGTTCAAAAGACGACAAGATCTATTTATTTAATGTAATGATGCAAGTAATACCATAGAATTGCAATCACTGATATGCTTCTGTCAGGATATTAATCCGTTCAGCCCTGCCAGAAAGACTGCACATCATCACTACAAAGCTTTTAGATTCAAGTCAGCGTCACGATGTTTTTTCCAGATATAAAGGTGTGATTAGACATGCACAGATTGAACATTTGGTGAAGTTATGCAGCAAAGAACTGCATGAATTCAGCGAAACACTAAAACACAGTCAGCATTTGTACATGTGATATTAATCAGGAGAGTTATGAGAGAAATTAAGGTTGTGGAGGTGTATATCCCACAGGCTGACCTTAGTTTTAACTGACCTGGCAAATGACAAAAGCTGTAACGCCAAACATTTCTGGGCGTCTTTCTCTCCTCTTACATTTTTGCTCACTGTGGGCTCATTCGTCACAGCAATATGAAGTCCTGCACCTCTATGGAGACAGCACAGACATGACCAGAAGTTGAAGGAACAAAGTTAAATTGCCTTAAATTATAAAGAAAAATTGAATTTCTGTCTTCTACGGCCTGCAGTTTATCCCAGTTCAGCCAGAAAAGTCCCAGAATTTTTTTATCACGTGACTTTTTTCCCCCCGTGGATTAGTCACTGATGGCCTGGTTAGTCTCATAGAGGAGCACAGAGGTTCTTGTTTTTTAGACAATCTGGCTGCTGTCATCGGTTTATTTTTGTTTTATTCAAATAAGACATGTAGAATAAAGTGATTCTGATTAGATTTTCTGCTTCTGAAAAATGATATAATTTTGCATTTTTTAAAAGATAACCTGCCTTTAAAACCCACCGGTGGGTTTAGTGGTTTAGAGTATTAATAGCACAAAGTAAGAATGTTTTAAATTAACTCTGATAGAGCTGAAAGTAGAATTGATGTGTCATTTGAAAGAAAGTTATTGATCATTATTTGATTATTTTAATGCAAACATTACATGGTGGAATCTGTTTTTACAAAATGATCTGCAGCTTAATCAGTAACGAAAATAATTAGTTGTATAATCATTAATTGCAGCCCTAAATTTGAACCTCATATTACTCGTATTTATCACAAACTGTGTAAATTGGATTTCTTTTAAGACCACATTTTAAGTCCATTTCGAGGGACTGTAACTTCTTGTAAATATGCAGGTGGAGCATATTTGTGAGGATCAGTGTCATATTTAACCTGATTTAAATGTATATAATAATCCTTTATGGCCCCAAAAAAAAAGTTTGTGATTGTTTGACTGCTGTGATTCATGGATTTTGTGGCGTCAAAGTAAAGCACAGGAGATGGAAGTGACAAAAGAGGGAGAGGCAGGAAACGGAGTGAAGAAATGGGCCATGGTCTGATGAAAATATTTTATCCGAAGGAAAGGGTAATGTTGCATTTGGAGAGGGTGTGGGTTCGGAGGAGGCCGAGAGGAAAGAGGATCGGCACATTTGTCTTTTTGCATTGGCTCAGCGCAAATAAACGATTGCTTTTCATGCAAATAATTGTAATGCAACATGCAAAAGAAAAATGGGGGGGAAAGAGTTTGAGCTTAAGCAAGAAAATTCCAGCGAGAGTTGAGAGGAGGAAGTCGCTGCGGTCGGATGCTAATGCGCGATAGTTACCCATGCAAATGACCTACGTGCTGAAAAGTGAGCAAAACAAGTGTTTAGCATTAGCGAAAGAGCCAAAACTAAGAGTTCAAGAGGGAACTGAGTGTTGTGTCAATAGGAAACATTGCGAACGAAAAGCCTATTCCTCATGCACTCACATACATACAGTAAATGTAGCATGAAGGGGGGAAACCTCAGAGAGCGAACCAGATGGTTGGAGCTTCCTGGAAATCCTCCAATAGGAACATTCCTGCCTGTTTATGACCTGTTACACACACACAGGGCGTATAGCACAAAAATGAGCTCCAAATATTCAAATAACTTTATCCCACATTCAGGGTGCAAACTGGAATCAGAACCGAACAAAGGAAACAAAAATATAATGTATGTGACTCCACGCTTACTTCATCTGCCGCCTCGGTTAACATTTGAACCCAATTTGCACAAGCGGCGTGCATGTACGCTGAATTAAAAGCACACCCAAACCTACGAGTTTTTTAAAAAAACACACTGATGATTATTCTGTGAGCTCTGAATGGCCAGGTGCTGCAGAGCAGTTTTTTGGCCCCACCATTACTTTTCAATTTCTATTCCAGCTTCCCATATTTCTCTGGATGGTTTGGAATTGGGCCCCCTGGACCTTTTAGCAAACACATAGAGGATTTTATGTTACCATCTTCTGCCAATATAATTTCTCAACTTTTCTGGCAATGATATTGATGTAAAAACCATTTGATGGATTACTCCCATTATTCTAAGCCAGTTTAGCAGGTAGTTTATGGCTTAGAACGACATGAAAAACGAAACAGAGGGGTTGTAGTTAAATAATTAGATAGTGGAATACGTGGATGTAAACAAACTTTATACTCCTGTGAGTTCAGACGCGCAAATGCTCACAGCTTTGTGTTGCACAGACAAAAGTCGTGTGACGATTGAAACCTGTTTACATCTTCAGAAACAAAGTCTGCTCATAAAGAAAAGAAAAGAGGATTTACCATGAGGGTGAACGCTTTTCTGCCGGTGTGAGACACAGTTTGCTGGAGATTCCCATCACTGGAGGTCGGCTCGTTTACTGGCAGCTGCAGCAGTGGACATAAAGAAAATGGATTTATCTACCAGCTTGTAAAAAGTTACCAAAGGAACACACATGCACACATAAATATTTGCACAGCGCAGGCAAACGTAATGTACGCATATTAAATAAAAGGCAAACATTAAAAAAAAGACTCAGGGACAGAGTGAAAGAATGACTTTTATTGAGTTTGATCATTTTCTAATGTGTTAGTCAGCAGTTTAGTCTGTCTGTGTTTGGCTTATCTTTCATCTGTGCCATGATTCAGTGGACGTTCTTTAACCTTCCTGGCATCGGCCTGGTTTATTCCACATCTGTGTCTTCAGTGTGAAAGGTATGAAAGGTCCTGATCAAGTCAAGCTGCTCTGATAGCTGATAGCTCTGTGACAGAGCCACAATGGCCTCCAGACGGCTTAAACAGGGATTAAACTCTTTCTCCAAACCCACCAAACTCTCCTCACCCTGTTTCTCCCACGAGGAATCACTCTCTCTCTCTCTCTCTCTCTCCTTCACTCTCTGCCTCCTTCGTTCCCCAGATGATGATTTAGACTCGGCTTCCCGACACCCACTAATCCCTCTGTGAAAAGACCCTCACACGTTCCACTGTGTGGAAATCGCAAATGTCGTTGATTCATGGCTTTTTGTAGAATTCCTTCGCTGATCTTTACGTTATATCGGCCCGAGGGAATGTTAGAACCACAGTGTCTTGCTGTATCATCCTTAACATCCCGACTGTGTTCAGTAGGAGGTGGTTTAACTTTGTGCATTAAATGTCATCTGCACATACGCGACTTGCCAGCGCTGTAAACTCCGGCGTGTTCGGTTTGTTTATGTGAGGTCGACGTGGCACATATTCACTGCGAGAGCTGCTGTTTACGTCTTGTTAGAGTATAAAGCTGCTATTTCTTTTTTTCCTTTTTTTAGAAAGCGGCTCAATTCTAAATAGCGTCTCAATGTGACATCAAATCAGAATATTTAGTGTGCACCGTATCTTTTCTAATTTGGGGTTTGAATCATGATTGAGCTGGATAGGGAGCGTTTGTGAAGGAGTAACGCTGCCTTCTTCAAGCTGGATTGTTTGGACATTTTTCCAAAGTGTTTATTTTAAGCGGATGAAGGAGAAGGAGTGACATGCAACAAAGATGGTTGGGGACGTCAGCATGTTAGAAAGATGACCAGGAAACACTTGTTTGTCAAGGTGTTTGTGGGGGTTTGGGACGTAATCCATAAAAACAAATACTTGTTTGTCTTTGATTTACTTATTTTCAGAATACTTTTTTAAAGTTAGGTCATATTAGACAGTTCACAGACTTAAAACATACGGAAAGATTGATGTATTTTATCAACCGACTTTCTAATATTTATTTAATCCTGTTAGCATTTGTTCACTTGTCATCAGTTTAGAGATGAAATATTATTAACAAGCTCTATATTGAACTCAGTTTTGCAGAAGAAGTCGTGCGACTTTTAAAACTTGGCACAAAACAACTTCTGTCTCTGGAGAGCTTTTGCGTTGACTTATTTAGTGTTTGTGTTTTTTTTCTGTTTACGCAGACAGATGAAGGACCAGTCGAAGAAAGTGGCCAACCTGAAGCACAAGGAGCAGCTGGAAAAGAGCAGGAACGCCCAGCTGATGGAGGAGGCCAAGAAGAGAGAGGACAATCTGAACGAAAGCTCCCAGCAGATAAAGGTACGCAGGAGGAGGAGGAGGAGGAGGAGACTGTAAGGAGGCTGCAAATGAGCCTCTTTTGAATATCGTCTGCTGCCACAACACCATATCGTTACGGCGGGACAATGGAGCAGCCCGAGGCAACGTCAAACACACTCACGCTCACGGCTGTCGGTCAGGGATCGCGTGACTGAATCGGAAATCTGACAGTGATAGCATGTAGAAGAAAAACAAACGGTGCGACGCGTGAATGGCAAGAAGGTTGACGAGAGGAGAAAGCAGGAATCAGAACTATGAAATGAATGCTCTGGGTTTTGAAACACTTCCTGCGGTCTGAGAGTATCTTCTAATTGTTTGCTGGGTGTGTCGAGTGACCACCAGACAAACGGCCACATGTGGGGCGACGACTGTGGCTTTTTTTTTTTTTTCTTCATATTTTATACAGATTGCAGGGTTTTCTTTCACTTCTCCTTTTTCACTCTTTCACCCCAAATTTCCCCCCAACGTCCTCCTCTTCCTCCTCCCTCCGCTCTTCCAGTAATAGCCAACCTCAGTGGCCTGTTTGATTATAGGCAGATGAAAACAGTCAGTGTGGGCGTGTTGGTGTGAATAAGCCTAAGCTATGATTGATCTCTGGTTTAAGGAGTTTGGAAGTTGTCATTTCTGCGTATGCGTGCGGTTAGGAGATGAGCTGATGGTTGTGTGAGTCACTCAGACTTATGAGACCGCAGCGGTTACCACCGTAACTAGTGTGTGTGTCAATTTCGAAGCCATTATGCATAGCTTAAGCAGCGCTGCAAACGGAATGTGAGAATAATTCAGACCGTAAATTCAATTCATTACAATAAGAGGTTTTAATTCAATAAAAGTCCATCTCCAGTCTGCATAGTTAGACGCCCAGTAATGTTGGATGACGGACGATTCAGGATTCTCCGCACATGTGTTGGAGATGTTCTGGAGGTTTGTTCACGGCCACTGAAATGTCTCATCCCGCCTCTCCCACCCAGTCCCCATCCGTTATTCATTCAGCCCTAATTTAACCAGGAAAGTCAGCTGCCTGGAAAGAGGGAAAAATAGCTCTTTTTATGGTGAGCTGGTGGGAAGCTCATGTAGTCATTTCACTTAGACACAACTTTGTGTCTGATGGGAATCCTCACAGGCAGATAGAGATCACACTGTCGAGTTTGTGAGCCTTTTTTTTTTCCCCCAGTTGTAAGGAGAAGCAAACTTGAAGGAGGAGTGTCCACGTTTCTTTTTTTTTTCCTCTGGGGATATGCTGAGCAGGATGTGACAGTCAGAGCTGCTTTTTTCAAATAAGGTGCCAGAAGATTCTCTTGCTACTGTACAAAATTACTTAATTAATAAATAATTCTCTACAGCTTATTTTTTAAACCTTATGATGCAAAAAAACATTTTCATGAAAATCGAATGTATATTTGAGGCATCTACTGTATAACAGCAATGATCATAAACAGATGTGGCCTATGGAATGTCCAAAAATAGAGAAGAACATCTGTCACGATTTACCAAACGTAAGTGGCTTGTTTTATCCAAGCTGCTAAAAATGAAGATGTGCCATCACTTACAGGTTTCTTAAACAGTGGTTTTAAGGCTTAGCGTGGTGGCTCTGGCTGCGTCTGACTCCTTTACCTCCTGACTAATCCATAAGTAGACACAGAGGTGCAAACATCTCTGGACCATGGAACCACTTGTCACTAAAAGCAGACACACTCTTAATTATGTATCATTTTAGGCTTGAATACAATTTAAACAGGTAAGTCATATAGAAATTCACCCCACAAGCAGTTGTCATTAACAGGGAAATTACCTGCAAGTAAAAATTTGTGCTGTGAAGCTGGACATTTTAACAGTTTGTGGGGACTGATTTGCTTTTGGAGCCAGCGTCAAGTGGACAGTTAAGGACTGGCCTAATTTGTCATCCCCAAAGGTCACTACTTGGGATTATCTACTAAAAAATCATACTCAGTTGAAGCTGAAACTACTGAAAACTACACCAAGCCAGCAGGTTTACAAGTGGATGTCCATCACTTTTCTCCAGACTTAAGTGTCTCAACAAGTATTTAATAGCCATAGAATATTTTCCATTTAATGTTCACAGTCTCCAGGTGATAAATCCCAGTGACCTTAGAAAGCCTCTCTAGCAACTTCATGAATTTTAGATTTGCAGTGCAATGTTTCCATAATTTTACAAAAAATTTGCACAAAGACTTTCAGACTTCCAGACTTTCATCACCTCATCAGCATCAACTGGAATAAGCTTTGGGATCCTGTCACATTTCATTTTGCAACATCATGCTACGCTAAGATGGTGAACATGCTAAACATCACCTAAACTTCAGCTCAAAGCAATGTGTTCTATACTTAAGGACAGCTTCATGGACACTTTCCATTGGCATCCTTGTTTTTTCAATAAAAAAAAGACTTAAAGCTTAGAAGCATTTTGTTCGTTGGACTTTTATGGTGAAATAGTGTGTGACACATGGTGGCACAACAGGTTTTTGCCCCTGCCCTGTAGACAACACAAAATGTCAGAAACATTTTGTTATGTATGTACTCTTATTACAAGGTAAGGAACTCCCCTAAAATTTTATTGGGAATTGAGCTGCATTAAAACACTATATGTGAGCACAGAGAGCAGGAGAGAAGTAATCATGTAAAATACATCTGCACCAAAGACCTCCTGCCAGTTCGTAGTAAAACTGAAGCATTTTTAGCATCGACGTCATTGATCATGCCAACTAATCACGGCAGTTGATTGATTTTTAAAGTTGTTTGCACCATTTGAATTGTTTGCACTTTTACAAAATGTCAGATTTGTTTTTTAAATATGCCAGAGACATTCAGAACACAGCGGCAGAATTATCAGTCGACCAGTTTTCAAGCTGAAGAGAGTTAAAGGGTTTATAAATGCTGGATTAATTAAGCTATCGTCTCTTTTGTTGCACACTTTCTCTGCATAGGACTCCCTCCGTCAGAAGGAGGATCGCATTGAGGAGCTGGAGGAGGCGCTGAGGGAGAGCGTTCAGATCACAGCAGAGAGGGAGGTGGTCCTCGCCCAGGAGGAGCAGGCGCGAACACAATCCGAGAAACAGGTACCGTTTATTTCAGCAGCTCACACACACACACTGGTGTTGCTGCATGCGTACGGAGAAACCTAAACCCCTAAACGTGTGACCCGAACCTTCCCTGAAACTCAACCCCTGTCAGTTATTCTTTCACGCAGACATAAATGTCATCACTTCTGAGGATTTCCTTCATTTTACTGCCTTTCTGGAGCACTTGAAGAAAGCACATACAGAAAACATCTTTAGGGCGACACAGCTAAAAGCGGCTAATGGAAGCAGCAACACACATGCCAACTGAGCTCATTCAGGTGTGGCTCAGTGTGTGTGTTTGCCCAGTCACTCTTCATTTGCAGGGGAGGTAAATACGTCTCTATTTAAAGAACAGCTTGCATTTTGTCCGCTTCGGCCTGCAACACACAAACAGCCTTTTTTTTTTTTTTTTTTAAAGGGCGCACGAGCCGACCACTCCAATTTGTAACGTTTTTTATCTAAATCGAGACAGTAGGAAAGCTCATAGCAGTGTTGAGGGAGGCTCTGAAGGGAAGGGTTTTGGTGGATTCAACCTCAGACCACTGGGAGTGTGTGTGTTGTTGTTCCCCTGGGTACCAGCGACTCGACGAGGCCACAGAGAAGGGAAATGTTCCCCGGTGCCTCGATGGGTTTTGACAAGTGGGGGGAAAAAAATAGCATGGGCCGTAAGGACGAAAACTGCCCTGAGAAAACACGGGCTGCTGTAGCTGTTGGCAAAACGGCTGGACTCCATTGTTATTACTGCCTCTAAATGTTGGCTGTCTCTTCTGGCCTTTACTTACTGGACTACCTCTGGACGGACACATAAAGACAGGCATGCAAACAGATGTTTCACTTTTGTGTTTCGCCGTCATCCGTTGTAAATGCTAATGAGCAGGACGCCGCAATAAGTTCCAGACAGACAGATGCAGCTGAAGAAAGACAGATCCTCAGCAAAGACAAACAGATGTAAGAAGACGTGATGGACGCACAAAGGCAGACACATGGTCGATAGGTTATCGTCTAGAATAACACTGCGCTCTACCAGTTTGGCGTCTCCAACTTTGTCATTTCAAATTCTAGTCGCGACCCCCCGAGATTTTCAAAGTACAACGGGAAAACATGTTTAAAATGATGCCCACGACAGGTTGGATTTGCCTTTTGATGTAGTGATGCAACGAAAGAGAAACAGCGTTTTGGATTTGGAGATTTGACACTCCTGGATTTTGTTTCAGCTTTAATAAAGGGTTCGAACAGGCAGATGAGGAAAATGTGAGTTGAAGTCAGGAAAAAGCAGTTTATTAAATTATTATTTTGTTAAGAGTGAATTTAAGAGCAACAGCGGGAACATGTGGTTTAGAATTTGCTTGCTTTCACATCAGTAAAAATGCTTTTTGTCGTGCTTAAATATCAATAAAACATTACTTCATGTCTTTCCCACATATATACATAGACACATTTTTCACTGTAGGGACTTTTATAGGTGCTCGGGGACCCTAATTTCATTTTAACCAGAAGAGCAAGGGTCTTTATTTAGCTCTTTAACCATAGTTTCTGAAGCCAAGACAGTCCCCACTCTGGCTGTAGCACGTTTTGATGCCACAAGAAAAGTTCACGGACCATCTTTTGACGAGCCATTCGTCACAGATTGGTCAAAGCGGCGCTTGCTGCTCCTTTAAATCACCTAAAACTTCAATCACACACAGTAAGCAATGATTAGTCGCCACAAATATCAATATAAGAAGAATAGATGGGCATTTTTTGTAAGCAGGGAGCCATTGAGAAAGAGGCTAAATGAGCTGAAAGCAAATGAAAGATAAATGTATCAGCAATTGAAAGAACAAAGCAGGTGAACAAAAGAAAGAAACTTAATTTTCTACCTTTTTTTTAAAATTGTGCTTGTGTAGACATCATCTCCATTTTGCAGACAGCTGCTCAGGAGTTTTCAGTGCCCTTTTCAACCTCAGCATGTCTGTTTGCAACGATTTATTGATTCAGACATCAAGGTTGTGTGCTAATTGCTGCTGTATTTTTAAGCTGTTACCAGAATAATTTGTCTGCTCATTACATGCAGCAGGGATGTGCAAAGAGGACTTTGTAGTGTAGTTCCTGAGTTTAGTCGCCCCTTTGTTCCTGGTCAAAATAGCTTATACATTTATAATCTGTGGTTTTATTACTATGCATCACAACACAGACAGTTGCAATGAAGGTTTGGGGTCTTTTTCAAAGCAAAGAGGGTCTAAACGTTGAGGGTTTTGCAATGTCGAGGACTAGATCAAGTGAATGTAAATACAAAAAAAGTCTTGATCGTGCTTTAATTTGTTTACAGCAATAGTGCCAAGGTATCGCATTGAATCTGGCAGGGAAACATTGAAATACTTCAAAATGCTACAAGTGGCAGCTCTAATTAGACAGAGCAGAGGCCATTTAGGCCAGCGCAGGGTCCTGGAGAGCGTCCTCATGCTAAAATGCTTCAGTGAAGGAGGAAGGAGCAGAAAACGTCAGTGTGTGGCGAACGAGTGGCGATGGCAGCCAAACACTCAGTGCAGCCCTCTCCCAACATCAACAGCACTAACTCAACCTTTCAGCGCAGACACGCACGCACATGTGTGTATGTGGCACTTCCAGACAGGACAGTAACACACAAGACAAGCGGACCACATGCATGCATGCTTCTTCAAACACGCGCGCACGGCCGAAAGACGTGCTAACTGCTATTTAAACAGCACGCCGACGCTGGACAACATGGCATTCAGCAGGAGCCAGATGGACGCAACTTTGGTTTTTCGAACTGGAAACGTGTCTCTATATCCACAAGTAAATTGTAAATAAATATTTTTGTGTTCCCTTTTTTTACGAGTGCGTCACTGCAATTTACCTCTCACATAATGATTTATAAAATGATGACAGAGGGAGACAATTTCCTCCCCTAATGAGGCCGGCCTGTTCAAAGGCACACACATTGCTTATTATAGCGTTGGCACTCTCGCACATGCAAATGCAGCCAAACCAGGCACATTTATACATACACCCTGACTCCATATTGGTAGACGTACACACTGCACACACACATTTTTATGCGCAGCTATATATTGACGACACGTGTGTGTGTGCGTGTGTGTGTGTGTGACTGTCCTGTGAACGGGGTTTGACCAACACCACATGAAAATATACTAAACCTTTTTCTGCTAGACATGAGTCACTACTGTACGTGTGATCACTGGAGAAAGGTGTGTGTGTGTGTGTGTGTGTGTGTATGTGTGTGTGTGTGTGTGTGTGGGTGACAGAGAAATGAGTCAACAGTATGACACACTCCATCTGTCTCTTCCGAAACCAAACTAAAGACAGACGTTCTCCTCTCCAGCTTCCCGTCTTTTATTAACCAGACAATTTTAATTCTTGACCTCAGTGCACCTTCTTCTCTCTTTCATCCTTTCCTACTCTTAACCCTCTGAACCCCAAAACGTGCCAGCAGGTTTGAAAAGCATGTTATCTTTATTTTTTTAAAAAGCACTTGCCAAAATTTCACAATTTATCAGAGCCAAAAGCTCTGAAAACAGAATCGTCGGGTTTGGAGCTCATCTGAGACATGTCGTTCGGTAGCAAAAAATAACCAAATCTGAGCCTGAAATTATTACATGTCGTCAAAATCACTTTATTTTACACGAACCCCAAAACCTAAAGGCAGATTAGAAAAACATAATATCTTTTTAAAATAGTTTATATAAGTCAGAAACCATAAAAACAGACAGAATGGCCAGAGTTTCACTATTCAGACTGTTGAACGTGTTGTGTGACTTCAGTCAAGAAAATGAACCAAATCCAAATTTAAAATCACAATATATCATTAAAATCACTTTATTCTACATGTCTTATTTACAAATTGGTCATAAATAAATCAATTTCCCTTATGCACTTGTAAGAGAAACTAAGAAGCCACTCGTCAAGTGAAAAGAAACCAGGGGCTTTATTGTTGGATTGACTGAACTGCAGGCAGTGTTTATGTTGAGCAGATGCGAAACAGGTATGGAAACAAGCAGCAAAATAGATTGTCCTCAGTAACACCTGTGAGCACATGCAAACATGTTGTACATGCTTATTCCTGGGTTTTTCTGGGCTTGTTTTGTTTTGGTTTTTTACATTTTTGTAAAATAATCAAAGAAATTCAACTTTCATTTGCATTTCCTATGATTTATAGCATTATAACTGTGTCATATTACACAGAAGACAAGTTTGAGTTTTGTACTTTGAGCCATGGTTGTGCTGTTTCCATGGAGGTGCAGGACTTTATATTGCTGTGAAAAATGAGCCCACAGTGAGTGAAAATGCAGCAGGAGCAACAAAAAGAAAAGCCCAGAAACTGCCTGAGGTTCAGAGAATTGAAATGAAGTTGAAATCGCTCTCACATGGAGAACACTGAAGGGGTTGCTGTCCTCCTCTCATCCAGCGTCTTCATTCCCAGCCGGGCCTCGTCACTCCTCACCCCTCCCTGCATCCCTCCATCCTCCTCCCCCATCTCTCTCCCTTTCTCTTTCCTCTCAGTCGGCGTCGTCAGTCCCATGTTTTCCTCCGCTGCCCTCATCTCTTTCCATTGTGTCTGAACAACCTTGTTAATGCTGCCGATGTTTCTGCCTGCTCAGTGTTTTGCACTCCGTCTGCATTTTCCTCTATCTCGTTATCTCTCTTTCATGTGCTTAGCATTTGTTTTTCATTAATTCTTACTCTCTTTTGCTTTATCTTCCACTTAATCTTCGGTTACGTGTCTTTTTTCTGCTTTTACTTCCTGTATGTCTGCCGTTCTGTTTTCCTCCTCTCTCTCTGCAATCCTTTTGGTGATTCTTCTTTATCCTCACCTGCACCTATCCTCTCCTTATTCTCTGTATCCTGCCTCCTTTCCTTCCTGCTTTTATCCCTCCTTATCTCCTCCTCCCTCACTGTTTTCACTCCCTCTTCTCACATCTCTCTCTCTCTCTCT